GTGAGATCTCATAATCAGGCCATTTCGTGACGTTACACAGGTTAAAAGGAAGAGGAGATAGAATGACTCCGTTACTGACCTTAAATGGCTCTGAGATACTGTTGCCCTATTTATCTGTAACATTTGTTGTTATTTAAGTTTTTTTTATTAAGTTTTCCAATTTTTTTACACACAAACAAAAACGAAATACAAAAATAACCCACCCCCCTTACAGCACAGGCTAGCTGAAAACCACACACAACCACAATTCTTAATAATTTCAAAACATGCTGTCCAACTATCTTTTTACCAATAAAAAACAAAAATGCATTCCAGGTATCAAAATGTGAGTCTTGTTTTCCCTTCCTTTTAGCAATTAATAATTCATAAGATGCAATCTTCGTCATCGTTATTATCCAGTCTCTGTAAACAGGTGCCTCAAAACTTTTCCATTTACGCAGTATGACTCTAGCTTCTGAAATAAAACCTGTAAGAGCCAGGGCCCCTGCCATTGTACAGTTGTGGTCAGAAGTTTACATACACTTGTAAAAAATATAATATAATGGCTCTACTGAGTGTCCCGTTATTTCTAAAACTCTGATTTTTCTCTGATAGAGTGATTGGAACAGATACTTCTTTGTCACAAAAAACATTAATGAAGTTTGGTTCTTTAATGTCTTTATTATGGGTTAACAGAGAAAAGTGATCACATTTGCTGGGTCACAAATATACATACAGCAACATGAACTAGCAATTTTGGTGACTTAGAAACGTATCAGTGAACTGAGCTTCATAGCATGGCCTCTTAACTTCTTGTGAGTGATTATGAGTGACTACAGCTGGTGACTTCTCTTAGGCCAGGTAAATAGGGCTCATTGGATACAAACGCCCACAAACGCTACAATGGGAAAGTCAAAGGAGCTCAGCATGGATCTGAAAAAGCGAATTATTGACTTGAACAAGTCAGGAAAGTCACTTGGGGCCATTTCAAAGCAGCTGCAGGTCCCAAGAGCAACAGTGCAAACAATTGTTTGTAAGTATAAGGCACTGTTTCATCACTGCCAAGATCAGGAAGAAAACGCAAGCTATCACCTGCTGCTGAGAGAAAATTGGTCAGGAGGGTAAAGAGTGAACCAAGAATCACCAAAAAGCAGATCTGCCAAGAATTAGAAGCTGCTGGAACACAGGTGTCATTGTCCACAGTCAAACGTGTTTTGCATCTCCATGGACTGAGAGGCTGCCGTGCAAGAAGGAAGCCCTTGCTCCAAAAGCGGCACCTTAAGGCTCGACTGAAGTTTGCTGCTGATCACATGGACAAAGATAAGACCTTCTGGAGGAAAGTTCTGTGGTCAGACGAAACAAAAATTGAGCTTTTTGGCCACAATGCCCAGCAATATGTTTGGAGGAGAAAAGGTGAGGCCTTTAACCCCAAGAACACCATGCCTACAGTCAAGCATGGTGGTGGGAATGTTATGCTGTGGGGTTGTTTTGCTGCCAATGGAACTGGTGCTTTACAGAGAGTAAATGGGATAATGAAGAAGGAGGATTACCTTCACATTCTTCAACATAACCTAAAATCATCAGCACGAAGGTTGGGTCTTGGGCGCAGTTGCGTGTTCCAACAGGACAATGACCCCAAACACACATCAAAAGTGGTAAAGGAATGGCTAAATCAGGCTAGAATAAGGGTTTTAGAATGGCCTTCCCAAAGTCCTGACTTAAACCCCATTGAAAACATGTGGACAGTGCTGAAGAAACAAGTCCATGTCAGAAAGCCATCAAATTTAACTGAACTTCACCAATTCTGTCAGGAGTGGTCAAAGATTCAACCAGAAGCTTGCCAGAAGCTTGTGGATGGCTACCAAAAGCGCCTAATTGAAGTGAAAATGGCTAAGGGACATGTAACCAAATATTAGCACTGCTGAATGTATATTTGTGACCCAGCAAATGTGATCACTTTTCTCTGTTAACCCATAATAAAGACATTAAAGAACCGAACTTCATGAATGTTTTTTGTGACAAAGAAGTATCTGTTCCAATCACTCTATCAGAGAAAAATCAGAGTTTTAGAAATAACGGGACACTCAGTAGAGCCATTATATTATATTTTTTACAAGTGTATGTAAACTTCTGACCACAACTGTATAACACACGATAAGTCTCCTAATAAACAAAGTCGAGCAGTTTCCGGGAGCGGTATACCCAACCACTCTTGCATTGTGTTCAATATTTTGTCCAAAAAGGTTGAACAACATAGCATGACCACATAGAATGAATAAAAGTACCTTGCTGCCTTTTACATTTCCAGCATAAATTATTCTTCATTAAACCCATTTTATAAAGACAAACTGGTGTATAATAATATCTATGGATTATCTTATGTGTCAGCTTTCCTCGTGCTTCCCTGGTAAACCATCCCATATTGGACATTATCCTTTGCCATGAATCTCTATCCAACCTTATGCTTAAATCCCTCTGCCAAACATGCCTTAAGCCATCATAATTTCCATATAATACTTTGGCTGACATCTTATAAAACATAGATGCTGACTGATACTTTTCTGCTAATTTTAAATAGAGCTGTACAACATTGTCCTCTTCAGGCAACCCCTTAACTAAACTGTCCAAGCTACTTCTTATTTGGAAATATCTCCATAAATTACCCATACTATCCACGTTAAATTGTAGCCTCAAGTCCTGATAAGATTTCACTGTTTTGTACTCGATTAGATCCTCTAATTTTCTCATGCCCCTCTCTCTCCACGTATTCCAACAGATGACTTCCTTTCCCACCCTTATTGCTGGGTTACACCAAATTGATGAATATAGTTGTTTATACTGGGATATCTTTAACCACTTGTGGAGTTTGATCCAAATATTTTTAGAATGCTGTAATATTGGATTTTTCTCTTTATACTCAGCTTCCTTCTTTTGAGCTTTTTTTGTGACAAAGCTTCTAAAGGCCAAAAGGGGGCAGTAAATTATTTTTCTATACCTACCCATCCTAAATAAGTGTCCTCTTTACCACAATGGTTTGTTAATTTAGCCACTTCAAAGGCAATGTTATACAGCTCCACATTTGGCAAAGCAAGACCCCCATCCCTTCTTGTTACATACAGTTTTTGTTGATTTATCCCTGGTTTCTTTCCATTCCATAGATATTCCTTTACCATCTGATTATATTGAGAATAGTACTCGTCACTTATTGAAATCGGAAGCATCATTGACAAATAATTAAATTGTGGCACAATCACCATTTTAATGGTAAGAATGTTTCCCCATAATGTTAAATTGAGTGCTTTTCATTTCTCCAGACTGTACTTTATCTTAATAAGGAGAGGATCCATATTAATGTGCATTATATCTGTTATATTAGCACACAGTTTAACCCCTAAATACTTCATCCCGGAAGAGAGCCATTTAAAATTCCCTGCACTCACCATGGTAGAATAACAAGCTCTAGAAATGGCCATAGCCTCTGACTTATGCCAATTAACTTTATAACCCGAAATTTGAGAGAATAAATCAACTTTGTCAAGAAGAGCCTGGGTAGAAGATGTTGGCTCTGAAATCAAATAAAGAATATCATCTGCGTAAAGAAAAAGTTTATGTTCTCTACCACCTGCTTCCACCTCTTTAATCGCTCCCTCTTTTCTTATTGCAATTGCTAATGGCTCCGTAAACAATAAAACAACAACGGGGACAAAGGGTAATATTTGTTGACCGTACCAATAAACCAGGATGTGTGCAGTGTACCTTGAGACACCTCTTTGCAGCAGCTTTATGAATAGTTTCCTATGGTTACCTCTATCAAATGCCATGGATGCATCTATGAAGCACATAGAGACTGAGGAGTTCTGGTTTCTGTATTTGGTCCCCATCTCCTTTAGAGCACACATACACTACTTACTTACAGGAAGCGTTCATGCAAATAAATAAATACATATAAAAATAATTAACAGCACTTCCTGTAGATGTCTTCAAAATAAAAAATACCACTTAAAATAAAATAGGTTTTAAATTTGTGTTAATAGCATAGTTCATCTAAATAACAGGAAAGTCAGAACATCTTCAATTACACTACTGCTAAAATTCAGCAAATTTATTTTTATTATCTATGTCCAACAAGATTAAATCAAGTAAAAGCAGGAACTAATAGCAGGTAGCTACAAAACAGGGAAGCTTTTTTAAAGCTTCATTAGGATAAGAAAGCTAAATCTTTTCTTCTAAATGGCTAAACAGATCAAACGTGTAGTACCAGCTTTCAGACACTGGAGGGCGAAAACTCCCAATCTTCCCTACATTTCTAAATGTTCAAATCATACCTAACCCTCCCACTGTCTTTATGGGTGACCCCGCGAGGAATGTTGACCATTGAGCAGGATTGATGGTTTATCCCTTGAGGTCCATGTGGCAGGGGTGAGGTGCTCACTCCTCACCCCTGCCACATGGACCTCAAGGGATAAACCATCAATCCTGCTCAATGGTCAACTTTCCTCATGGGGTCACACCCATTAGGACAGTGGGAGGGTTAAATAACTTAAGTTGCCAAATCCATACCCTGATAGCGCTTTTACAAAACAAACCACTGAAAATCAAACGAGGCCGTCCTAACAGAATGAGACAAACCTGCCAGTTTTATCCAGATCTTTGTCCCTGGTTCTCTGTTGTTTCTGTTGCAAAATCAGAGGCCTATCACACCAGATTTATTCAACTGGTGATAATCAGATCTTTAGGGATAGTTCAAATCACCACAGTTGAAATTTTTGGTTGCAAATCAAGGACGTGTGTGTGTGTGTGAATGTGTGTGTGCTTGTCTTTATGCTTTTAATTGGACAAATTTTGGCTTTTAACATGGACATTTCCACACAGTGCAGAAAACCCCAACACTTGGTTTTAGAGATATGGTGTTACCTTTTCTTATAGGTCAGGGTATGGGTTAGTCAAGGAAGGGTCCACACAAGGATACGTGTGTGTGTGTGTGTGTGTGAATCAAGAACAACACAGAGACAGATGACACATTCTTTCCAGGCATGATTTATTGAAAACACACCAAATGTATACTCTACAAACCGGTATTTTTCCATTATGTTTAACAAGCGTAATATTTGCCTCTGGGTATTAGTAAATTTAACATAGTACATTCTGTCACTGCGGCATTGCTTCTGCTCGCTACGAAAGCATTAACACCTCACTCCTCTAAAAAATCAAACCCATTTCTCAAATGACTACCTCCTTAAAAGTTTATAATACAATGTAATAAAGCAGAAACCTGCCAACAGTCTAAACTACATAGGGGGTGGGGGCAAAGTGTGACATTGATGGGGAAGGAGGAGGAGGAGGGGAGGGGAGGCGAACAGACAGTCGAGGGGGTGGAATGGAGTTATATAAAACACATTTATCTTGATCTACCATGGAAAAGATTAAGGCACATGATAGGTACAAACACATCTGCTACTCAGTTACTTTAGTTTGACGGTCTTGAATCAGTCCTGTCTACACAGGTAGGTTTGTTTGATTCCATGTGTGTCCGGGTATTTTACAGCACAGTTGTGAGGTTCTTGGTTCTGCACATCCACAAAAACCAAGACGTCGGTTTTATTCTGAATTCATGTGAACACAACTCCAGATCCTTTGGTTGTGGTACGGCGTAGTGCATTTTAGAGAGACAGTCACACGCGTCGATGTCCAGGACACACAAAAGGGATGCTGGGTGTTACGACACTTTTGACCCATCTTTAGAAATCTGAAGTTAATAAACAGTAACTTTTTCATGTTCATAGTTGATTGAGTTTTAACCACAACGTACATCTTTGTAAACACCGTAAAATATGCAAGCTTTACAAAGTCACATACGTCACAAAGAGAAACGAAAATCGGACTTCAACGCAGGCACATGCCGTTCGCCTCGAGTGGTAGATGCACGAGTGGAACCAAGCCGGGTCAGATCCTCTCCAACGGGAATGTCATGATGCATCCCAACATCCCGCCCTTCACCCACTGTAAAAATATATACTATGAGACCACCCATGATGCTTCAGTGCTTGAGTCTCCACCCACATCCATCAGCCACCCCTGCACATGAATGAATTAGCTCGTATTCAATGACACCACGAAAAAAACTGGCACTTGGAAAGAAACATAGAATATAAACATCTGTAAAGATTTTCTTCATGCTCACGACTTAACGGCGTTAAAGATGCAGCAGAGAAGGTGGGGTTGTGGTGATTAAATGTTCTGTAAGTGCACGAGGAGAAAAAACATACGTCACCCCCATTCCCCCCCAAAAGTCTACTGTTAGTGATGCAGGAGCAGTTGAACACAAACCCACCCTCCTAATGAAGAAGGTAGCTACACTTCTGTCCTTTAACCTTTTTGACAAATACAAAATATAAATAGGTGAACCTGGATGTGACACGTTTAAGTTACAGGTGGTTATTTGTGGTTTACAAACATGGTGAGTCTTTATCAAATGAAATGTGCTTCCCAAACAACGTGTTATTCATTTACAACTAAAAAGTCGTGTTTTGTTGTTTTTTATTCTTTAGTTTTTCTATTTTTTTTTTTTGCTTTGTTTTATTGTAATATACATTTATATAAAAGCCAACTTTTAGACCTTTTCTTTAAACAAGGAACCAATCTCCTTCTCTTTGCAAAAACAGAAATCATTTATAAACACAATGCCTTAAATTCTCTTAATACACAACGCCGACAAACAGCAACCAGCCGCGTGCCAGAGTGTTCACAGGAGTGAGCACGGCTCTGTTTGGCCCATACAGGCCACCGTAAAACACAAAGTCTCTCTTGATTTGGATCTGCTTGCACTCAATATTCTTCTTGAGATGCGGCGTGAATAAAAACGCTCCCAGATGGACTCACAACCTGCAGCCTCCTAACTTCCTGGTCCACACATCTGATTTCAAAGCAGTGCACTCTCTTTTTTGTTTTTTGAAAACAACACGGTGAACCCAGATGGATTTTCAGTTGGGGTAAATGTTTCTCTGCAATGCTACAGCTCTTCTCAGGCTCGGCTTCCTTGTTTTTCTTCTCTGGATTTATCTCATCAAACCCAAAACAAACTTTCAGTAGCCTTCAAACACACCAGTCCAAACCTGTTCATGTCAAGATATCAAAGCACGACAACACACTCAAAAAAAAAATCATTCAGAATTCCACTAAACCACTTTTGAAAACTCAAATACTTCTTCTTCCACAGGTTTTCATCCAATACACGTTCTTTTTCAATCCAGGCTGTCTCACGTTGCTTCTCCCACTCTGCCTCCAGCATCAGCCTCCTTCCTGATTGTCTTAGAGCTCCGTCACGACTCAACACTGTAAAATTCACATGATGTCCAGGAATGTAGATATGACAAAGTAGTAAGAGTTTTTTTTCTTAGCTCACTTTAAAAACCTTCTCTGACTGAATGCTGACTGCTGCTGGGTAGTCGTTTTTGTGATCAGTCTCTTTTTACAAAGTCCAGCTCCAGAGATGAGTTCCTGTGAAATGGCAGTGGTGACATGAGAGATCCTCGTCCAGCTGGGGTGTTGCTCTGCTGCTGCTTAAGCCTGAAACACGGGGAGGACAGAAGGAAAAAACAAGTGAGATAAATCTCAAACTCTCACAGGTGGAGTTTCAGTCCCAAAATATAAACTCCAAATCTTAAACCAATTTCTCGCAGCCAGGTATATGGATGGGCAGTATGTCCAGTTTAATCGATACTCCAGGAGCTGTTGCTTTAATGACATCTTAGAAAGACATTGTAGCAACTGTGAAGTATATATTTTAACTGCAAACCTTCAGCCATCTTAAACAGATACTAGGCAGTTTGCTTGCTTTTAGCACCCCCTAGTGTTTGTTTGCAGAAGCAAAACCATCTCCACGGCGTGCGTTCTCTTTAACACCTTAATCTAACAGCTGAAACGTCTCCCAGCATTCCTAGGTGTCTACAGGAGTGATTCATCACTAAATTAACCAAATCAGCTGTGTTCATGATCTAAAACATGCAGGAAACGTGCTGGAACCAGACAGCAGCGTCAGGTGGGACAGCCCAATTTTTTTCTCCACAACCGTGATGACGCAAGTGCAATATTCTGACCACAGGGGGCGATAGGGGCTGGGTGGCCTTTCAATACCCTGTACAGAGTCATTTTAGTACATTCTGGCTCAAGAAAATGATTTAAACATATGACAAAGTTGCAAATTGTTCCTTGAAACTTCTAGGATCATAGCTTCTCCCACGGGCCTCTAATGCATCACAGCTCATGCCGTCTCCCACCTGGAGACATCTCCAGAGCTTTATGAAAAGTGAGGGATCTAGTCTGGCAGAAGACACAATGAATGTCTCAAGAGAAGTTAGTGAGAGGAGGCTAATTAGATGGATCTTTTCTCCTGGCTTGGTTTGAAGTGAACAAACATGGCCTGATTAGGATGAGCTGCTTTTGGTGCTGATGGCCTCATGTCCATTTGTTCTTTTGTTGTTTGAGTGTTGCGACTCTGGCCTGTTGACCCATAAATCATTTGCTGTGATCACTGGTCACAAGGATTTAGGCTTTTTCTGTATTCCTTGATTTAGGGACTCAGTGGCCTAGTGATAGAGTGTCCCCCCCTGGGACAGGGAGATCAGGGTTCAAATCCCGGTTGGGTCATACCAAAGACCTTAAAATGGGACCCAATACCCTCCCCCCACTTGACACTCAGCTTTAAGGGGTTGGATTAGGGGGGTACAAACCACCAAATAGTTCCCGAGTGCAGCCGTGTCTGCAGCTCACTGCACCCCACGGAGATGGGTCAAATGCGGAGGACAAATTTCACCACACACCAGAGTGTGTGACAACTGATGAGACCAAAGAGATTTCCTCTTTGAACTTTGCTCCAACCTGCACATTAGTGGAGAGGTCTGTTGCTTTTATCTTGAGTTAATCTAAGACTTACTACCGCATCAAGATTCAAAACTTTATTAATCCCTGAAGGGCGATTTAAATCCAGGCTATAGTTCAGACGCAAACGTTGACTGGCTAAATGTGGATTCTAAAACATCCGGATAAGGATCATGTGTTGTTATTCAGCATTCGTATTTGCTTTAGGCCATACTGCCCAGCTCCACATGGGGATTTAAGTTACATTAAAAGGTTTTTGGTAGAAAACCTATCATGACAGAACATTTCTCTCATGAATGGGTTATGGATCTGGAATGAAAATCTTAAGCTGCTTTCATTTCAGGCATCAAAACCACCTGCTGACGTTGCACTATTTATCTAGGAATCATCACTGAGAACGACTCAGAGATGTCATGGCAGATGGAGAGTGGAGGCAATGGACAAACAGGTGCTTGGTGTGTTGGATGAAGCCCTGAAAGCGCCAGATGGAGAAACATCTTACCTGATGACACATTCATTACCTTCTTCTTTACTTTTTCTACAAAATTCTCCTGAACAGCACACATCTACAACTTCACAACTCTAGAGTCAGAGTGACGCTTTTCACGTGACAGCACAATAGATGGGATGGTGAACGGATCATCGCTAATAAAGAAGAGTTGGATGAAAGGATGAAAATCAGGGGGACAGAAGGAAGGAAGCAGAGGAGAGAAAAGCAGGAGCCAGAACAATGACAGGCAAACCCAGACCAGAGAGCTTTGAAAATGTCGTTTTTAGGGGGGTTCTAAGAAAAGCACAAGAGAAACGGTCAGATATTTAACTTGGAATTTTTAAAAGAAGCAGCTTTAGCAGATTTCAGGTTTTTTGTTTTTGACACTGCCGATTGTTCATTCTCTACTAATACCTTTATAAACGCTGATTTTCCTGCTATAAATATGAGTTCTGAGACTATAGACACTCAGAAATCTACTAAAGCACCAAATACTCAGAGGAAGCCAAACTTTCAACCTCAAAAAGTTAATTTACAATTCATGAGCTTTTTTCCCTCACTGTAGTTCATCCGAGTTGGCTTCCATCATCCAGTCATCAAACTGCATGAGTCACTCATCTGAAATCGTCTCAACATCAAAAGTGGCATGAATGAGAAATTCAGACGGGATTTTTCTGAATGTGTGCACATATTTCTTTTTCTTCAAAACTGCATTTCATTACGGGACACCCGAGTCCTCAGAGGATCCGTCTAGGGTGCAGAGGAATGACTTCCCTTCATCATCCGCCTCCACTTCCAGCGTCAGCTGTCAGGGGAGGCGGCGAGTGAGGTGCTGGGCGTGCGTTCCAATGAGGCAGGCGGTGCTGAATGGTAACCAGAGACCAGAGTCTGTCAGCGCTCTGCTAGTGTTCCCGAGTCAATAAGACACGTCGGTGTGTGTTTACAAGAGGATCTCCCTGAACAGCAGTGTTAGCCTCCATGGCAGTTTGTAATTTATAAAGAAAAACCTGTACCCTCTGCTCTGGAGAGTTTGTTATTCTACACAAAACACTGAAACATAAAAATTGTTTTCAGCTGATTTGGAATATGTTTCAACATAATGACTCCTCCTGCTGACTGCTCTGGGAGCACGAGGACACCAGTCGTGCACGATGAGGTGAGAAAGTGAGAGAAAAAAGGGAGAAATGACAAAAAAATAAAGGATGCAGAAGGTGAAGGTGTTATTTTTGTTTGTGCTTTGGTTTTTCAGACCTACCATGCATGCATTTAAACCCAGGAGTCAACAGGCTGGGGCTTAACGTCACACGCGTCCACCAGACTGACCGCAGGCCTGTTACTCCTGATATAGTGTTTCCTATTTGTGTCATTCTGTAGCCACAGGTGGAAGGGTTAGGGAGGGAAATAAACACAGTAAAACAAAAAAAGTCATTACATTTGACACATATAGGCTTTGCACACACATGCATCCAGGATCAGAGAAGCCAGCGTTAGTTCTCCGCCTCAGCTTCGGAAAGCAGTCAGAGTGGTTACAGAACCGCATAAAAACATGCAAATCAAAAGAGGGCAAAGTTTGAGGCGGCGTCCTAGGGAAGTGCAGACAGGAAGACCCGTAGAACCGCAGGCTGCTGCTGGAGGTTGTGAGCTGTCCTGTCACTGCTCAACCTTTACTCATGCTGTAGGAACTCTTCATCTTACCACTTCACTCTGCCGTTTACGACCAGGACTTCAAAACAGAAGAAAAACAATACTTGTGCACAAAAATGGAGAAACATTAACTTCCATTTATGAGTTGTAAAATTAAATAACCAACAACTTGATTTTAGCTTTGGTTTTCGGAAATGTTAAAGACCAAGTTCACTAATTTTCTCTATACATCTGCAGTGGTCTTGAGTAAAACTGAATGCCTTGAGAGTCGATGTCTATGAAAAAAAAATAAAGCTCTGGCGCTCCTGTTTCGGTAACTGAGCCAGAGGAGTGGGGAGCAGAACACAGCAGGTTTTAAAGTTTTATTTCCTGATATTCAGACATCTCTCCTCTGATTGGCTAACAGCAGCACGGCTTTTCCAATGACTCTGCTACATGGATGTTTTATCTCCACAAATAACACAAGCCTGGAGGAGTTCTACCATTTTGTGAGTCGCTAATGCTAACAACGGTTAGCTTCTACTAGCTGCGACGCTCTCTGAGCTGGATGCTAAGTCAACAGCAACCTTCCCATCGCAAACAAGATGTGAGTCCATTAATTCAGTGTGACGCAGATCAGAGCTTTTTCAGGTCTATTGTCTATCAGCAGCTAATGCAGGAAATAGGGGTAGAAGACTAGTTTCACGTGAAACTCAAGAGTGGCCAATCACATTTCAAAACAACCATGTTTCAGTGAACGTGGGCTTTAAGATGGCGATGTTTACTAACAGATGGAATAAACAGTTTCCAACTACACCTGCAGTCTCAGCAGCAACATACCGATGCTTGGATCTCATTTTAATCAAACAATTTTTATGTTTTTGGTTGATAAAACCAGAACACCTAGACACTGTGGCACATAGCATAGTAGCACATTTGAGTTCTTCCCACTGCATTTCAACAACGATTACTTCTGTCTCTCCAGTAGTTTGTGGATGTAGAGAGACACATTTATGTTCAGATATTTACTAATATGTCTAGTTTTGAGGACTGCAAATGAAAATAATCAAAATAAATATTTTTTTCATTATTTAACCCTTTGGTGCATAATGGTCACTACAGTGGACAGGTACTCAAAATTGTTATTTATTTGTTTTTGCTAGTAAGCACAGCTGTTGAAGACTTTATTGCATTTGAGCCCCTCCATTTGGACTTCAGTAAGTCAAGCCAACATATTTCATGCTCAGAATGCACGCTGTCCACTGAGCTGGACATGTAATAAATTATTTGTAAATTATAAAATTTTACAAAAAATGTTTGTTGAAATTTGTTTCATTCACACCTGAAGACAAATGAAAAAAATTGTAAAAAAAATCATGGTTGAAGGTTTCATAATTCATGCATCAAAGGGTTAAATGATAAATAACCCTCACTTGTAAAGCCTTTCACAGTTAGTAGACTCCAAAGTGCTTTCCACTGCAGTGTATCATTCATCTGTTCACACACACATTCACACGCTGATGGTGATGAGCTGCCACATTACCACAGCTGCCCGGGGGCTGCCAAGCACGAGCGACGCTGGTCCCTCTGAACACCAGCAGGTGGGGGGGTTGAGGGCACCACATTCTCTGTCGAGAGCCGGGATCGAACCTGAAGCTTCCTGATTACTGCACAACCCGCTCTACCTCCTGAGCTACTGCGGTCCCAACTACACAACAATCACATATTTGTTGACTTTTAACTTGATGATTTCGGCTCTCGTTCAGAAAAGTGTAAACACCCTTGGTGCAGACGATGAATCTCAGCACAGGCACGCCCTCAGAAGTTAATTTAAACCTGCAGAGGAGTAAATATGTAACCATAAATATGTTTATGGTAAATGATCGCAAGCAGACTATTACCGAATGCATTTCTGACTCACTAAAGGCAATTACCAAGCACTCTGATAGATCAAAACTAAACAACCAAAAGTACTTGAAAGTCATTTGACATGTCAGCCATCCTCTGAGGCCATTATCTTCTGACTCCACTCGGTGGTTCAGCTCAACAATAAACACGCCGTGGCTGCAGTGAACAGGCTGCATAATCAGCAGACGACCTCTTGATAATTCCAGGGCGTTCATTTTTGAAGCATGGCTCGTCTCCAGGAAGTGTGCTCGTCGGCGGTTCTTTTAATCAGGCTCAGAATAATTACTAAACAAACTCCAACAAGCTTACACTCAATTAACTGGTGGCTCCCACATCTGAGACAGTGGCAAAGCTAACAGAGCCTCGTTAAAGAGTCCACGCTATTAAGAGCCTCTAATGAGGGCCACCACAGAAGACAGAGAGAGACAGAGATAAACACACAGACAGTACATGTGACTGGATTTCCACATGAAATATTTATGCCATCATCTGTACGATCAGTCCTAAATCAGAGATCTGACGTTACCTTTAATGGTTCCCGTTCTGTTAGGTCCGCTGAGCCGTCATCTGTTTTATATTTGCAGTCCTTGTCCCTCTGATCAATGGTGGAGTAACCATCTAGTAGGATCAGAGAACAGCGATCAGATCAGTCCTCTGAAAGATGATTTGGTTTTTGAGATGTGAGAAGCTTTTCACACATAAATCACACGTGCGTCCACACTCTTAGGCCTAGTCCACATGTAGCCGGGTTTTTTTAAAAACGAATATCCGCCCCTCCAAAAACTTGCATCCACACCACCTCGTTTAAAAAAAATTCTGTCCACACGTACCCGGATAAATACGTTGTTAAGGACATGCCAGACCTGTAGGCGGCAGTACTTCCCCCGTTCTTAACCTCATCCTTCGTCTGTGGTCTTCCGCAAGGAGCAGTAACTCCGCTTGCAAAAACAAACAAGCAAAAAGCGCTTGGACAATTGATAAAGTGAGCGCAGCTCTGAGGGCTTCCATGCTGTTGGCTAGTGTAAACACAGGTCGCACACGTGATGTCAGCATTTTTTTGTCGCGGAAAGTGACGTTGCAGACATTAAAACTCCGGTTTTGTCTGTCCTCACGCAGACACCCAAAACGGAGGAAACGCAGATCTTCACTTTGGCCGGAGTTTTAAAAAAGATCAGTTTTTGTGTGAAAAAAACTCCGTTTTCGTGTGGATGACAGGCCAAAACGTAGACAAATATCTACGTTTTGGCAGATCCCTGGCTACGTGTGGACAGGGCCTTAGTTTGTGATTTGTTCCGGTTCACGCGTGGGAAGCAGTCCGTAGATTTTTTAACGAACAAATCCCTCCCCTCTGGGTTGTGTAAAGCTTTCTGAATTCTGATGGTGTCACTTGAGAACATCACAGTTTGTTGTACAGGTGGTGTGATCAGACTCGTTTTAAATTTGTGCCTCTTGACTTTTTCCTGTCACACTCATGAGCATGTGGCTTTAGCAACTCTACACAAGTAACGTTTCACCACACCTGGGCTCACTTAAGATCCTCTGTTTGCTGTCAGGAATAAAAAATAGCAGCTACAGGTGAGAAACCATGCTTCACCCACCCTCAACCTCAAAATCCAACATGGCTGCCCCGTGTAAATAAACACCTGCTCTAAATATCTTAACTTTTATACATTTAGGTCCCACTAAAGCAGTCGCATCCATGGTCCTGCACCATCTCCATGCGTTTAAATGATGACAAATACACTTTAACCAACTTGTTGAAAGCAGTTGTCCTAGTAAAGCGCTGCCGACAGTAAAGTTAGAGGTGACTTCATTCTCATATCTGAGTTGTGATTGCAGACAGAGAAGAGAGGCTGCAGCTCATTCATAAATGAGAGAAAGTGCAGTGTTTGGTTTGGTCAGTTAGCTTGACAACATTTTGAGGGAAAGATATTTCTAGAATGCTCTTTAAATGCTTTTCGGATATTAAATATACAGATCCTAATTTTGGTCGTGTTTCTATGCAACAGTTAGAATATACCTTTCTGAATAGTGTTCACACCTGACAGGACTGACGAGCTAACAGCTAGTCTACCACAGCCAAGACCAAACATCTAACTCTGCTGTTCCTAAAAAAGCGTCAGCCTCCTTCATTTCACAGCATTTGATGTAATAGATGTTATAAGCCTCAGCACCATCACATTTGATTATGTCAGAAGAGAGAAAGCCTGCAGAATTTGACCCCGACTGTAAAAGGCGCTACATTTATGCTTCTGCTGGTGGCCACACCCTTTGGTGGGGTCAAGTTTGTAAATCGGTTCTCAAACATTTTCCCTAAAATAAAGGATGCAGATGAGTTGTATGGTTATAAATGACCAAGATTCCCTTTAAAGTGTGATGGATTGTAAACAACAGTCGTATGAACATCGATGACATTTTGGAAACTGAAGTTGTTTCAACCTCCTGTGACCCTGCAGCCACATAACACCACATTAGCTTCTTAATCAATAATTTTTCATTCTCTTCAACAGAGACTTTTTAAAATTTAGAGACACTTTATTTTGATTTTAATTTGATGGTTTAAAACATGTAAACATTGTTTTATGTAATTCTGAACTGTCTGTAACAGTTTTTAGTCTAAACCCTGTCATTCTGTCATAGATATCATTCCTGTGCTGAGGGTGAGTAAATCTTAACATTGTTGAACAAAAGCAGCAGATTACTTCACATGTCCTCGTGTTTCAGCGTCTGTGTGACACTGGGCGGGTTAACGGCACTGCAGTGCGCATTTCTAGTTTGAACTCTGAATTCACCTGAGGGCTGGTTCTCTGCCGTCATCAAAGGCGAGAAACCACAGCAGCTCCCAAAACTCCATTTAGTGTTTTCAGAGCTACAGTTTTCCCCACAACAACACATTGTTTTGCCACAAAAGTTCAACCTATAACAAGCAGGCTGCGCCGTGGCAGGAGCTGTTAAAATCCTGTCATTTAGTTTGTCACTTTCAACAAGTTTTGTTTTGCTTGCTTTTCTAAGGCACACAAAAACAACAACAAAGACACACAGCAGGTAATTACTGAAGGTGAGACTATGGAACGGAAATGATGAACAACAATGTTGGAAGCCAACATAACCTCCCGCTGGTGTCTGTCTGCTAATGTGACTGCTGTTTGACACAAACATTCTTGTTAGAAGATATTTCATAATTTTTGGTAACTCATCTGTATTTAGGAATGAATAATACCAATTATGATCAAACTGCTGATGTCATTAGGTTTGTGTATCTCATTAGTTCTTGATAACCAACAAACCAGTGGCTAACCCTAACCCTGGACTTAAAGAAAAAGGATGAAAAAAAACACACAAAGGAAAAACTAAATCCGTTCTTATCAAACTAAAATTACAGCTGAATAAATAAAGACTCAAGAGAGGCTTAAAGGCCAAGTTCACTCATTTTTTCAATACATCTGAAGTGGTCTCTTGCATAAATGAATACCTTGTGAGTCAATCTCTGTGGGGAAAAAAAGCTCTGGCGCTCCTGTATCAGACATTAGGGGTGTTTCTCAATGTCATGGCGAGGCGATGTCTTGCGAGGCCAGGCGCCTTGCATACAAGGACACTGTCTTTCCTTGGTCAAAGAAAACAGTTAAATAGAACAGACTTGCATCACGTGATCGCGGCTTCCACGACGGTCATGTAACGTCACGTGACACGGGAGATAACGTTATATTTTATACGTATTGGTTTCAATATAAATTTATAACAAGACTTTTACTTTTTAAATTGTGTAAATATTTGTTAAATTAAATATGACCACCGAAGCTGCAACTATTAAGCAACTAACCAACCATAGATAACGTCTTTGGATCTAAATAAACATTTTAAATGAGTTGACTTACTTTTAAACTTACAATTTGCCCCCGAAGTAGCTGCCGGCTTCTGATTCGCCATCCTTTTGAAAATACCGCGGTGTATTCTGGGTAATTTTTTACCAAGGCAAGGCTACAAGACACCTCCTGTGTATCCTTGTTCAGCTAGCTAAACAGCTAACAAACCGAGAACACACGCCTCGGTAGAACATGAACATTGGAACACGTCTTGGCGGCTCCTGATGACGTATCTCCTAGGCAACCGGGGTGGGGCCAAGACATCAAGGCGAGGTTCCTTGGCATTGAGAAACACCCTAGAAGTTAGCCAGAGCAGACGGCAGGATTTGGAGTCTTATTTCCTGATATTCAAACATCTCTCCTCTGATTGGCTAACAGCAACGTGACTCTACCGCTGACTCCGTTTGCTCTGTGATGTCGATGTTTAAACTCCACAAATAACACAAGCCTGAAGGAGTTCTGCCGTGTGGTGGAGTTGCTAAAGCTAACAGTTAGCTACTAGTCGAGACATTCTCTGCTGTTCCCTGGACGCTAAACCAACAACAGCCTTCTCTGTTGCGAGCCAAGATGGGTGAATCCATGAATGTGACATAGATCTGACTGGCTTTAGCAAACCAAGCATCTGTTTTCTATCAGCGGTTAATGCAGAAGATAGGTGTAGGAGACTATTTTCACGTTCAGCCTGCACGTGACAGAGTGGTCGATCAAATTTGAAAAATAACAAGTAAAAACAGTTAACTTGCTCTTTAAACCTGGTTAATGGGCTGAGCGTCTGATGAAGAACAGTCTTTCATCAAAGCTCAAATGTTCACACCAGAGTCAGACCGCTATAATCTTCAGAAGGTAAGAAGGAACAAACAGGACAAATGTTGACTCAACCAGAGATCTATTGGATTATGGACAGAGAATAGTGGAGGGTTTGCTGTTTTCTTGACTAAGGACCATCGGCTCGTACCTGGACCCAGCTCATCCATAGGTATCATATCACCACTGCCACATTTCCTGGTGCCTGAAAAGCATTCAGACACCGTTTGTACAAAAGTGGCAAAACAAACTAATTGTGTCGTCGAGCCAAAACACCGGAGCTTTGGAAGGATAGTGTTTTTTGGTCAGTGATTGAATAATGCAAACTGAGAGTGTGGAGGCATAGGTGTCACCATTCAGCAAAGGATGCAAAGAAAAGAACTAAACACAATAAAACTTTAATGATTCAGGACAACAAAGTGTGGGTTTCCTACTGTCTTCTACAACTTAACCTGAATGCTGCTGGTGGAGAAAACCAGTTATTCACTGAACACAAATATAAACGCAACACTTTAGTTCATGAGCTGAACTCAAACATCTGAAACATTTACTAAACACACAAATGACCCATCACTCTCAAATATGGTTCACTAATCTTGGCAAAAGGAGATCTGAGGCACTCAGGAGGTACAAAAATAAAAAGCCTTTATTAGTACATGGCTTAAATTGTTAAAAACATCAATGCCAATGCGTTTCAGCCCACAGGGCCTTCGTCAGGGCTCAAAATGTTTGTATACTCACTCACCCCCATGTTAAAAAGGCCAATCAATGACACCTGCCAAAGCTGGGCAGGTAGACTGCATTCTGATTGGATGGCCAGTACAACACAAAAACTTTTTACATCTAAACAATCCTATTGTAAGGATGAATACTTACAAATATGAAATTTCACTTCTAGAATTTGAGAAAAAATTATAAATATGGTACACAAATTGTAAGAAAACATGAGATTATAAATAAGGAGCTAAATCTAATTCTCCATTAAGACCTGGGAAATTAGTAGTTTTTAGTGTGTAAATCCAAAATGATTCTCTTTGCAAGAGTTTTTTAAGCCTATCTCCTCCTCTAATTGAATTTTTTATATGTTCAATCCCTGTGATTTTAAGAGAGTTACAGCTTCCATGATTTGTGTCTTTATAATGCACTGCCATAGGATATAAAGGATTACCAGATCTGATTGCTTGTTTGTGCTCTGCAAGTCTTGCTTTGCCAACATTTATGTGGATCCCTTGGCTGAAGAGCACCAGTGAGAGCACCAGATAAGATTTCTCACACCCCTGCAGCACTTCCAGCATTTTTTCTATCATGGTTCACTAATCTGCCTAAGGCCCTGTCCACACGTAGCCGGGGATCTGCCAAAACGTAGATATTTTTCTACGTTTTGGCCTGTCATCCACACGAAAACGGAGTTTTTTCACACGAAAACGGATCTTTTTAAAAACTCCGGCCAAAGTGAAGATCTGCGTTTTCTCCGTTTTGGGTGTCTGCGTGTGGTCAGACAAAACCGGAGTTTTAAGGTCCGCAACGTCACTTTCCGCGACAAAAAAATGCTGACATCACGTGTGCGACCTGTGTTTACACTAGCCGACAGCATGGATGCCCTCAGAGCTGCGCTCGCTTTATCAATTGTCCAAGAGCTTTTTGCTTGTTTGTTTTTACAAGCGGAATTACTGCTCCTTGCGGAAGACCACAGACGAAGGACGAGGTTAAGAACGGGGGAAGTACTGCCGCCTACAGGTCTGGCATGTCCTTAACAACGTATTTATCCGGGTACGTGTGGACAGTTTTTTTTTAAACGAGGTGGTGTGGATGCAAGCTTCTGGAGGGGCGGATATTCGTTTTTTCTACGTGTGGACTAGGCCTAAATCTGTGTTAGTGAGCACTTCTCCATCCTACCTCACAGGTGTGGCCAATCAAGGTGGCAGCATGAAGTTTACACAGGTGTGCCTTTTGGCCATGCTGAAATGTGCAGTTTTATCACACACACACACACACACACACACACACACACACACACACACACACACACACACACACACACACACGCACACACGCACACACGCACACACGCACACACGCACACACGCACACACACACTAACCTTGATTCTTCTCCATCAGCGGCAGAGTGGTGTCATCATAACCTGGTTTGCCGTTCTTGGTTGCTTTAGGAGTAACCGCCACTGTGGGCTGAGTGGAGAGATAAAACAAACAGCATCACACAGCTGTTCTCATGCTGGGTGTTATGTTGGATTTCGTAAATTAAAAGACATTTCTAGCATAGAAACCTGCGTAAGGCAAAGCGGACCAGAAAATAACTCTCATTGCCCTGTTGAATATTCAGTTTATGTGTTGGTCAGGGGACCCATGAGCCAGAGACGTGGGCTCCCGGTGGTTCGTGGCCATGCTGTTACATATATAGGATGTTTTGGCAGGCTTAGACATGTCTAGATTATATTCTAATGATGTGTTTAAATGTGAGACCTAAATATAAATGTATACATTTCTTAAATAATGTATTTCTAAATCTTTAAAACTACGATAATAAATCTGGAAAACAAATGAGCTCAAAACTTGTTTTTTATGCCTCTTAACATTCTAAGACAATACAGCTGTAAATATATTGTGGACTTAAAAAAATAATAAAGTGATTCTCTCACTTTAGTCTAAAAATTGGACCTTACTAGTGCAAATACTTGCACTTCCCTGGGTCTTCCATTCATCGCACACTCACGTATTTAGCAATGACTGCAGCTGCTTGGAGATGAAATTTGTCTTGAAAATTATTTCAAAATGTTCAAACAGCAGAGAACGTCTTACCTAGCAGAAGCTAACCGTTAGCATTAGCAACTCCATCACACAGCACAACAACTCCAGACTTGTTTTATTTGTGGAGATAAAACATCGACGTTGCAAACCAAATGGAGTCAGTGGTAGAGTCACGCTGCTGTTAGCCAATCAGAAACAAGAGGTCCTAATATCAGGAAATGAGACTCCAAATCCTGCTTTTTTCTGCTCCCATCTCTTACAGCTGCTTCTAGTTAGGGGCGCCAGATCTTTTTCCCCACCGAGATTGACTCACGAGGCATTCATTGATACTAGAGACCACCATAAATGTGTTGAAAATGAACCTGAACTAACACTAGAGTGGTGTACCTGAAAGTGGCTTTTGTTCCAGCCATCCTTGGTCAAAGCATTCCTTAGTTCCTTATAGCTCCACACCGTTTGCAACACGTGCGATGCGGCCTTAGTTTCACGAGCTGATTGGCTGAGGGGGCAGACAAAATAGAAGCATTAAATAAGAACCCTGATCCCGCCTTACCTCCGGTCTCTACAGCTATTTTGAATCAGTTTGAATATGTCTCCATTTCTCAGTTGTGTGACATAATCAAGGGGTTGAAGCCTTCCTTTTGTTTAAAGGACAGTATTGCTCCTAGACTGCTAGAGGAGGTCTTTAGTGCTGTGGGTCCCTAGATTGTTAACTCAGTTAACACCTCTCTTTCTCTTGGCTGTGTCCCAGCTGCCTTGAAACACGCTGCGGTCCAGCCTCTTAAAAAAAAGAGCAACTGCCTCATCCCAAGTGCCGGTGCCCACTTCCAATTTTAAACTGCACTTAGACACAGAGGACTGTGGGGGGAAGAGGGGTGGTGTGGTGGCATCAGCTGGCGTAGGCCAGACGATGCCTGCACTGCCCGCTCACCACAACCACGAATACACCTCATCAACACGCACTAACACTGTACTGGAGCAGGGGAAGTGAGACTAGGGGTCTCAGCGCACCTCTGTAGTCGCTTGGCTTCCAAGGGCTGGAGGCTAGGAAGGGGATCTGGCCGTCTGGCTGGGGTCTGGGGTGGTGGGTCGCTTTGCTTAGCGTTGGGCGGGGGAGCCTGCTCATCAGCACCCCAGCAGGAAGGGTCGAACTCTGGGAACTGGTGATGGTTGTACCCTTAGTGCAGCAGTACCAGAGTGAATAGGGTGTGTATGGGGAGTGTGAGTGGGTGTCCGGTGTGCATTTTTGTAAGTCTTAGGTTGTATGTGTATGTGTGAGCATGAGGGAGGGAGTGTGTGACTGTGTTTGTGTATGACTGTATATGTCAGGTGGGGCTTTTGACTCCACCCCTCTCCTGGGACCTTTTTTTTGCTGCTACACATCTTCGCCTCCTCTCCTCTGCCACACTAGGTGTGGGGTGTGGTGCCTTGGTCTGCCTGAGTGTTCGCGGCTCCCAGGTCAGGGGGTTTAAGATTTTTGGCGTCTGCCTGATTATTCTCGGTGGCTGCCTGGTAGGATCTGGGTCCCCGGCGGGGGTGGTCCCTCCTGGGACCCCGGGTCGCTGGGTTCCGGGCTCAGCCGACTTGGGGGTGGGAGGCTGCGGGCGAGCCTGTGGGCTTGCCACTGATATCCCCTGGGACTCTGCCAGCTGCTGGTTGTGGCCCCATGGGGCAATCCTCTGCGCCTCGAGGGGGGCGGGGCTTTTCTGGTTGCAGTCTCCCTGGAATTCCTGTGCTCTGAGGCAGCTCCTGGATCTCTGGGACTTGGAGCTCCTTCCATCTCCTGCACATCTTTGGGGGGGCGGGGGGTGGGTGGGGGCAGATATGTGGCCCCTCACACTCTCTATTGGACGCTCCTATAGAGAAACCTTACATATACAAGCACGTGTACGCACACAGGTGCTCACATGGTGCTCTCATAAGTATGGACTTGGGCACGTTCAACACAAGTCTTAAGGCTGTGGTGGGCACTTAGTGCACTGTTTATCTTTTGATTGTTCAGTAAAACAATGTTGATTTTATATTTCCTCATCAGGTTGACGCAGTGATAGCTTGCTGCTGTTGTATTGTTGTGTTGTTTTTCTTTTTTTTTCTCCTTCTGCAGGTCTAGAAGCAGACTCTTGTTCATCATTGATTGTTTATTTGTGTGTGTGTGTGTGTCATAAACAGCAAAAACAGCTTAAATCTCCACATGAAGCACTTCTCCATCGTTGCTCCTCTCTTCCTCTCACCTCATGATGTAACTCACTTTCAGGGTCAAACTAAAATAATCGTGTTCATTATCTCATTTCTTTCCATACTCCATCACATTGGTGGTCTGCACATTAGTGTAGTTTAGTAAATCAACATGACTGACATGCACACACAGAAAACCCAGCTAACTCATCACACTGCCACCCATCAATGACAGCGTCTCAGTTTTGTAATCTGTTCCCAGAAGCTTCATCACATCAAAGATCAGGATGTTTGGTCTGAGGACATCTCTGGTTTCACCTCGTCCTGTTGATGGCGACCAGCTTCTCGATGGCCAGGGCCTGGACGAGAGAGCGAGCGTTTTCTGAGCTGTCGGTAACAATCTCATGAATGGTGTTTAGGATGGCGACCACAGTGTCCTCCTCCAGGTTCTTGGCGGGTCGCTGCTGACCACTGGGCAGGTTGCTCACCAAGTCCCGCATGGCATAACTCCCTGTGGAGTGAAGTTTTTATTACAATTAGCCAAGCAGTTAACTTTTTAAACACCTTCAAGGTCAACAGCAAGGACTCCTCATTTCCTGCACAACATGAATTAAAATATACACTCAGCAGCCAATTTATTAGGTACATCTGTAATGATTAACAGAAATATCTAAAGCCTGGTTCACATGACAGAATAATTGTGCTGATTTTTGACCAGATCCTCTCCATCCCACCAAACAATCCATAGAACACACCCAATTACCACAAAAGCTCCAAAGATGATCTAATTAGATATTCCTACCTTGTGTGGTGTGTTAGGAGTGGTCTGGTCAGCTTAGACATGTCCAGGACCTCTCCGATCATAAATAAGGGCTTTCAAACGTGTTGGATTGTCTTGGTCTAATTTTTGAGGACAAACAAACGTGCTGTTTGTTGACTCTATCCAATCAAAAAGCGAGGCGACTAAAGCACGCTGCCCACTCCCCCTCCACCATGTTTGTTAACTACAAAGTGTAGCGTGTAGTTTTTGCCGTGTTTACCACCACACACTGTAGGACCAAAACTGGTGTACCTGTGCTTTTACATGTGGGGTCTCTCATGTTGAAAAGTGGCAACTTTAGAATTCTGTTGCGTGAATCGGGCCTAGCCAGCCAATCACAGACTGCAACTCAAATTTTAGATATCTAGATGTGAAAATGGCCTACAAAGGGTTCTTTCATATAACGGACCATTGTTCAAACACCACGGCCTACCTGTCAGACGAATATCTCCAACACCCTGTTGAATCCATGCTACGAACAATCAAGACCACTCTGAAGGCTAAAGAGGGTCCAAGCTTGCACTAATAAGGTGTATCTGACAGAGTGGTCATCGATCCATCAACTTAACCACTTCATCCTCACTAGTGTGGTGGAAGTAAAGTAATGTGTGGGCTAAATCTGAAATGGTCAGTCTTTGCAAAAACACATCGGACAGTCGTACATTACGACAGTCACACAGAACTTTAAAACTTTGGACACATTGTCGACATGCGTCTTCTGCTAACTTTCCAAAATAAAATTCACTTCCTGAAAACAACAAAGTGCAGAAAGTAGAAAATTTGCTCTGAGTCTGTGACAAAGGCAGAGTGTTTGAACTGATCAGTGCACCGGAGGCTTTCAGCAGCTTTTTATTTTTATTTTTATTTTTTTTACAAATGCTGAGTAACTTAAGCTCATTTCTTATTATTGTAACATTTGTGCAGAGCTAAAACTGCATTTTGCCCCAACAGTTCCACTTTCTTTAACCAACACATCTCTTAAAGTACCAGCAGCATTAGGCTACAGCAGCACTCGCATTAACCCCTTATGGATCATTACCATATTTAGAAATATTTTCTGATGTTTCACAATAATTCCCAAAATTACATGATGCTCTCTAATCATTTTGAACTATTTTCCTGAGCAGAGGGACTGTCTAAACATCATGGTAGAAAATTGTTATTTTTTCTAATTATTTCAGCAGATTATCGTCACAATAAAACTGTGTATAATGTAAAGGTCAGAGGTCACTACAAAACCCACTGTTGAACAGAGACAAATCTGAAGCCCGCGAGGACATTGTTGCCGGTTTTTCAGCGTGGCTTAAAAGTTTCCACAAACACTGTGGTATTAATCCAAGGAAGATATGAAAAACTATAAAAGTGGGAGTAAAAAAAGGATCGCTCCTCTTTATGACTGGTATGATCTCAGTCAACAATTAAGACAGCTGATTTTTTAAAGAGTAAGTTCAATGCCTTGTACCAATCAGATCCTTGTTGCGGCGGTCGATGGACAGGTTGCGCAGGGCGATGGCCACAGCTCGGACCACCTTATCAGAGTCGGAGCGCAGCAGCTCCACCAGAATGGGGAGACCTTTCTCCTTCCGCACTGTGGCTCGGATGTAGTTGGACCACTGTGGAGCAGAAGGTAGACCATGATGTCACTGATCATGTTCACACAATCACTCAACCATGCTCTACACAGCGAGGCTCTAAATAGATGTGATCTCATTTGTCTAAATGTAAACATTGCTGGATATTTATTTGCATGTTGTGTAACAAGAAACATTAACTTTGACATAAAAGGGATTTTCTTCTTGGTGCTGGTAACCTAAAAGATGTAATTAGGCAGAGAACTGGCTCAACTGAGCCACTAGAGGGCAGTAGTCAGCTGTGGGGAAACATGCTAGGCTGTTGCGGGAAGGAACGAGATGGATTTACAACAGAAGCTCTGATGTCCTCTCAGGGAGCAGGACATGATTTGTCCAGCTAACAGATGAGATATATTAGTGCCAAAACATCCTGAGCACAGCTTTCTGTTCTGATCCACTCCAGCCATAAAGGTGGAATGATTCCTCCCATAGAAGGCTCCCTGACCCAAAAATCACTTCACCTGAATTATTCAAAACTTTATCTTAAAGAATCAGGGATATATAAACACAAATATCTCAGATAATTCCTGTCTGAAGTGCGAGGTCGGCAGTGCTGAACGTGGAAAACAGAATGATGCGTTTCGACCCCGACGCAGGCATGAAGAGTTAGTGAGAATACCATTGAGGGCTGAGTGCAGACAGTCTGTTGAAGAACAGGTGACCGCTCCGTCCTGCGGGGCTGAGTGTAAGCTGGCATTTGACTGCCAGCCTTCCGTGTTGACAATTTACAGCTGCCTGCAAACCGCTCGACCTCTCAGCAGCTGCACAGCCTCTGATTGGAATAAATACCTGAATATGGCTGGAGCGGTGCTCCTCTCATCCACTATCGGCTGCACTACACATGAGTGGGCTGCACCTTAAGTACTGAGGAAGCTTTAATTATTCATAAAAATTTAAAATGAGTTAACTCTGTTCAACATGATGCTAACTACTATGCAGAGACCAGTGTAGAGGCACAGCCCCCTAACACCTTACACATACTTTACTTCTTTTATTGCTACTTTAGCAAAGTTTATACAAGAATAAACGTCTATTCCAAGTATTTTAGCTCAGAAGTGCTGTTTTAACAAGCAGCTGATATTCCTGAACGCTTTCTCTGTCTGAGCAGCAGTTGGAAACACGCTGCTGCAAGAGGTTTACACCCAACGTCTGAAGCACAATCACTAAACAGCTGGAGAGAAGAGTCAAACATGCCTATGAATAGTGTTTCAAGCAACCTAACCCTAACCCTAACCCTTTATTTATGAAGGAAAAAAGTGAAGGCATGACTATACCGTACTACTTAACTTTGCATTAACCAGTTGACCTAATATTTTAAACTAATTTTGCTTATACCTTTTAAAAAGCCTATATTCAAAAGCTATATAAGGAAATTTAGGATAAAAGTTTACTGCATTGTTAATGAGGCCCGAGACGCACGCCTAACAGGAAGTCGGCCTCTGGTTTAATGTGTTGCTGCTATCCCAGCTTTAGCATTCTTACTTTTATCTGGCGCTAACTGTGTTCCCTTTCTAGCCTAATTGCTAGTTCGTGTAGTAAAATGTGTCCTGCTGAAAGGCCACGACCAAGACAGAAGTTGTCAGAAAGTCAGTGATTAATCTGAACATCAGATAGAACATTGTGCCCTTCCCTAACCCAGGACTCACAGTCCACTGTCCAGCGCTGAGGTTCTGCAGAGCCCCAGCTGCTGCCTCCAGGGTGTTGTAGTTCTGGCTCTCCGTCAGCAGAGAAAGGTACAGCCTCACCACTTCTGGCTGGTACAGCAGCTCAAAGCCTGCAGGGGGACACAAGAGAGAGATACAAACGCGCTGGTTAGAATCCCTGGCAGGACAGACGGGCTTTGTAAAGGTGCCGGCAGAACAGTGATGACATTTATCTCAGTCTGTAGGGAGATTCTGTTGGCACAGCATGAGAAAACAGAGGCTTGGGTTTGTTAAAAAAACACAACACCTGTGGTGATGGCAGAAAACACCGAGTTGAAGGAGCTTAACGAAAATAGTTTCAAACATTAAAAGAACAGCTCCTCTGAATTCCAAAGTCCAATAATTAAAGAAACAGATTACAGCCGAAAACACTCCAGAGGAGGTTATTGATCCAACATTCAAGGTCAAACCCAGAGCGTTTGAGAGGGAGGATTATTGGACGAACACGGGACATTCTGCCAGTCAGTCATTAAGCTTCTCTCTGATGGGAACCTAATTACTTTTATCAGCTATTAGACCAGGCCGGCACTGGCGCAGGGAGGGAGACGCACCAGTCACATCAGATTCATCCATCAAAGGTTTTCCTTATTTCTAAACTAAACAGACTCACTCGAGTTTCACGACTAAAGAAAAGTAACCTTTTGGGCCCTAGGGCTCATGCTGCTACAGTTGTTTGTGCCCCAGGACGCTCAGGCTCGATCAAAGCATGAGATGGAGGAACAAGGTAGCTTAAAGTAGCTTTCCAGAGTTTTCTACTTTCACAAATTATGTATGATTTTTCAGAAATCTGTAAAAGTGATTATCTTGTACTTTGATATAATGTAAGCAACACGTCTTTTTTTTGATAAGCACGCCCCCTGCCCCGCAGAGCTCCATGCAATAGGAGACTGAGCGCCAACCAGAACTAACCAATAGCGTTAACTACCGCTTAGAAGCTTCAAATTTAAGGAATCCCTCGGCTGATGCAGAGTTGATGAATTTTCACGGACAAGCACGCCTCTAAAGTATAAAAAAATGAAAACACAACATGACAGGAGAATAATACTCGTAAAACGTGTTTTAGCTCTGTTTGTCAGCTACAGAAGGACATACCGTAAATCCTCTAATACAGGCCCGGGCCTGTATTTGACTCAAGCTCATCAAGCGCCAGGCCTTTATTGGAAGGAGGGCCAGTATTAGAGGCAGGCCTCTATTTCTATTTGAGCAAAATGAACTAATGGTTCGCTGGAGTTTTTGACAATTAAAATTGCGCCCACATTTTCTAAGTTAAACACATTTCTTTTAACAACGGTAGTTTCTGCTTCAGCCCTCTCCCCCTCCCCCTGCGCAGCGGCCGCAAACTCACTGATGCGCCTGCAGCCTCTCAGAGTTCCTGCTGCTCTAAACATTAAAATAATTATTTCATTTTCTGTTCCTCACTTCTGATGACCTTCAATGGTGTCTGTTTGTTGCAACAGCAGGTACAAAAACTAACTTGTTTTTATTTGACTATTTTTCTGTCCTGTTTCTATTCCTGCATCTCCTCTCAATCCTAAAGAGAAACTGCTACCTGGGTTCATATATATTCACCTTATGAGTTACCTTTGAACTGCTGTTCTAAAAGATCTACCGACCGCAAAAACAGCGGAGCGCTCGCTGTTTGGCGGCCGTATCAGTGATCAGTGCGTCGGAGGACAAGGTGATGCGCGCAGCGCCCCGCTCCACAGCATGCAGCGAAACGCATCAGGCGCAAATAAAAGACAGAAAACATTAAAGGAAATGAACTGACATGAACGATCGCGTGTTAAATTAGTTTTTGAGGTGGCTACACCTGATTGTTACTGTGGCCGTGCTCAGGAGGCAGATCTACCGACCGCGAAAACAGCTGAGCGCTCCCTGCTTGCCGGCCGCATCAGTGATCTGTGCGTCGGAGGACAAGTTGATGCGCCCCGCTCCACAGCAGCGATACACATCAGGCGCAAATAAAAGACAGAAAACATTAAAGGAAATGAACCGACATGAACGATCGCGTGTCAGTACCTACGGTCTGGCACAGCGCGTTGCCCCCCCGAGCGCAGGAGCTTGTCACCTGCTGACAGCAGGCTGCTGTTTTTTCCGAGGGCTGCATCTTGCCGGTCATTATCACGTGACAGTGACTAGTCGACGACAGGCATAAAAAGTCACTATAGTGAAGTTGACTAGTTCATACACCCCCTACTGCTGCTCCCCAGAGTGTTCTGCAGCATAATCAGCACGTTCTCTTTGAACTTGATAGTGTAATGACCTGGCTGGGGTTGTAAGCCAGGTGCATTCTGGGTATTGTGTTATATGTGTTTCCTATCGTTCTGCTAGTTCCTATGTGCTGATTTGCGTGTTGTGTGAGTGTTATGTAAGCCACAGGGAAGGTGATGTGTGTTCTGTGGAGCGGGTTGAATTAGCATGGTTAACTGACACCGTGACTCTGTGTGGTAGGAGCGTGATAGAGGATCGTGTCTGTAGCATTACAAAGCGTTGAAGAAAAAGTCTAATAAAGGTCTGCGTGAACCTCTACTGCCTCCTGCTGGTTGATTTGGGGACTATAACCCTGCCGCTGGGACGCTCATACTTGCTTGTTACCACATTCCACCCGGCCACAATAAGAGACCGGCCATTATTTACCTCCGCTGACTCCGGCACCGGCCAAAATTGGAGACCCGGCCTTTAATTGAATATCGGCCTGTATTAGAGGATTTACGGTAAACAAGAAAGTTGCCATCTTAAAAAAAACAGGAGAAATTATTAGTGTGATATGCTTGCCAGCCACTAGATGGTGCCATCAGATAAGAGAAATACTCTGGAAAGAGACTTTAAGGGGGTAAAAACCCCTTGGGGGGGGCAAATCTTTGATTTTATATTTTTTAAGACTAAATGTTTTGGCGTTTCTAATTCACTAAAAACATCAGGAAAATGAATGTTCTGACACTAAACTAGAGGTGAGGGAAGCTCGGTGGTTCCATAAAGCCTGGACCGACTCCTGCCTCCAACCCCAAAGTTAGTTGATGGAAAAAGAAGAAAAAAAAGTGTTGGATGAAACTTTCCCTTTACAGAAACACAGCTTTCTTCCCATTCTCTAAAACATAACAAAAGATATTTCACACTCTCCTCCCAAGCCTCAAGGCTCAAATAAAAGAGAATAGAACTGACTGTGTCTTCCGAGGGCAGCTTTCATTTGAACACCCCTGCATTACGTGGCCAGGGATGTTTAGCAACCTGTGTGATTGATGCTTGCAGGCTCAGGATCTCTGAATCATCATTATCATCATTTATGATGTATAAATAGTGTGATTTGATACAGGTGTGACTTAGTAGAACAACAGAAAACTGTGACTGAGGGTGGGGTGTGTGTTTTTCTGCTCGGGAGCTAACATAAAGTTACATTTGTGCCTCTAACATCTCACACCCATAATTTACAGAGTGGAAGCCAGGGTGCACACACAGATTCAGACTCATGGCTGTTAACACTCGGAAGCGATGGTTTACTTCCCTCTGGCATTTCCCCTCAGGATCACTCCACCAGAATGTGTGTGGGAGGAACTGCCAGATTGGAAGAACGATACCGGAGGTGCCGCTCGAGAAATGTCCAACTTCTCTTCAAAGAACAGAGCGTTTACAAATCTTTGAAAATCTGGGATGTGTTTTGGTATATAAGTGATCTCAATATCTACAGCGTGCAAAGAAGTGATCCTACAGAAGCAGCACAGTCAGGGGCAGTCAGAGTCCCGATGTGACCATGTGCTAAAACATGAACAGATTTGTTCTGGGCCAGGGGGAGAGCAGCTAAACTATACACTCAGCAACATTCTGCATGTGCCTCATATTTCTGGGTCTACTAGGTGCACAGTCAGCAAACTAAGGACCACTGGGCTTCGTGACAGACGTTTCACCTCTAGAGCAGGCTCTCTGGACAAAGGCAGCCATATTGAACCTTTACAACTGTCCATAAAGGTGTGTCGTCTGCTGCAGCGTCTTTATAACGTAATCCCGAATGTCCTCCTTTCTGACACCAAGACAAATGTAAGTTATGGTCTTCCTGGAGTAATGTTCTTTTTGATGAGCCAGAAACTCATCAAGTCTTTCAGGTGATGTCAGAAATCTTTGACTTCACCGCTGCTTTGGTGACAGGTCCTCTCGTTTAAACCCTTTTAGCAGACGTCAGCTTTTACTCAGATCTACTAACCTTGTATCAGAACACAAAAGAAAGATAAATCATTTTATAGACATCAAGATACAACATTAGATCCTGTACTTACAGTACGTGTGTGTGTGGAACATGTTAAAACAAAGCTAACCATAACACAGACCTAGCTGCCCATTGAACAGCAGCATGCTGGTGAAGGCTCTCAGTCATCCCTGTCACGGTACTTCAAAGGGGTTTGAATGACGGCAACTGTACTTCTTTGGTTCCTTGGAGATGTTTTGCTTCTCATCCGAGGATCTTTGTCAATTCTGACTGGAATATATACTGTAGCTGTCTGCTGTTGCTTAACGAGCAGAAACTACTTATGAATACCCCTTCTGCCTGCCCCCTAAGAAGTTGCAGATGTTACTGACACTGTTCAGCAGTGTGTGCTTCTAGTCTGATAAAATCCTTAGCCAGTATTTTATCTGTAGTAAACTGACAGATTTTTAATAAATAAATGTCATTTCAATGTTTTATTCTAATTAATCCATCCATCCATTTCCACCACGTATCCAAGGTTTGATTGCAGAGGTATAATGCAGAAGGGAAAAAATAAACAGACATCCTGCTCTTCAGCTCCTCCTGAGAGACCCCCAAGGTGTTCCAAGGCCAGAGAAGATCACATAATCCCTCCAGTGATTTCTGGGTCTGCCCTCGGGTCTCTTCCCTGTTGGACGGGCCCAGAAAACCTCCAAGTGAAGAAAAACTGAAGGGCTGTACGTTGCAACTATCCCATTAACACTTCCATGAATCAACGTCATTAAATTGATGTCATCGAACCAGACACGGAGAAAAGATGAGGAAAAATGGCTGTAAGTTAACCAAACTTCTAATCCTTCCTTCAGGAGGAAAGATCCACCATAAATCTGGCCA